CAGACTTGGTACTGTTAGAACCTGTTGATTATTAATATTGTTAAGTTTAAAACTTAGATATTACTGCATTCTTTGTTCTTTAATGATTTTTATTTTCTTAGAAATAGGCCGGGGCCGGGGCGGTGGCTCAACGGGCCGGTCATCCCGCACGTTTGAGGCCGAGGCGGGCGGTCACAAGGTCGGAAGATCGAGACCATGGTGAAACCCCTGGTCCTTCGTACTAAATACAAAAAAACGAGGCGGGGCGGGTGGCGGGGCATGTAGTTCCAGCTGCTTCGGAGGCTGGAAGGCAGGGAGAACTGGGGTGAACCCAGGGAGGCGGGGCTTTGCAGTGGAAAGCCAGGGATCGCGCAGCCACTCCAGGCTTGGGCGGCAGAGGAAGACTCCGTCTCAAAAAAAAAAAAAAAAAGAATAGGCGGCGCGGTGGCTCGACGCCGTGTAATCCCAGCACTTTGGGAGAGGGCGAGATGGGGCGGAGGTACGAGGGTCAGGATATCGAGGACATCTGGACTACACGGTGAAACTCCGTCTCTACTAAAAAAAATACAATTAGCTGGCGCGGTGGCGGGCGCTGTAGGTCCGCACAACGGGCGGGCTGAGGCAGGAGATGGCGGGAACCCAGAGGGCGGAGCTTGCCAGTGAGTTGGATGATTCGCGCCACTGGCCACTTCCAGCTCTGGGGACGAGCGAGGGACCTCCGCTCAAAAAAAAAAAAAAAAAATAAGAAAAAAGAAATAAAATATTGCCAGGAATTAGACCACCTCTCTTGTCAATAATGATATTTTTCACCCCCGCCCCTTTTTATTCATTACTTTCTTTTTTTGATTTTGTATTCATTAACCACTTGTATTGTTTTCTTTTCTTCCTTTCTTTCTTTTTTTTTTTTTTTTGAGGGGAGTCTGCTCTGTCGGCCCAGGGGCTTGGAGGGCAGGTGGCCAGATATCAGCTCACTACAAGGCTCCGCCCTCCGGGTTTACCCATTCTCACGCCACTGCAGCTTCCCGAGTATGCTGGGAGCAGGGCGCGCCACCTCGCCGGTTAGGTTTTTGTATTTTTTAGTAGAGACGGGGGTTTTTAATGTGAAACTGTCAAGCACAGATGAGGATGTTACCGTGTTAGCCAGGATGGTCTCCCCACCAGCATGGTTCAAACTTCATTTACCATGGAATTTTAATGAATTCTGTAAGGTCCAAACCTTGCTGCTGGCTCTTTAGTCCAAAAAACATGACATAAATAACAGATGGGCATCATGATTAGAACATCACTGCTTTCGAAGACTAGTGGTGATTGGCTGGTCAGTGCTGGTCTGTCATTCAGCTCATGCAGACGCCAGACAAGTGTATAGTTGGGTTGCCTCCTTGTCTCTCAGTGATCAACAGATATAACATTTTATGAAATTCAATGATTGGGCTGGGCGCGGTGACTCACACCTGTAATCCCAGCGCTTTGGGAGGCCAAGGTGGATGGATCACTTGAGGTCAGGAGATGAAGACCATCCTGGCCAACCTGGTGAAACTCCGTCTCTACTAAAAATACAAAAATTAGCCAGGCGCCCGTGGTGGTGGGCGCCTATAATCCCAGCTACTCGGAGGCTGAGGCAGGAGAATCACTTAAACCTGGGAGGCAGAGGTTGCCGTGAGCCAAGATTGTGCCACTGCACTCCAGCCTG